GGAGTAACAAAATGACAACGCGATTGCTCATTTATGAAAATAAGTTGCTCTTTCACGATAGGAACAAATATTGTCTTCCGCTTGTAAGATATCTCCCGCCTATTAAAACTTATATTCATCATTATCTTGCGAATATTATCAATCGTTTGTGTAATTGGCAAGTAACAAGCTTCTTTGATCCAAGAATTGAATGACTCGGCTAGGTTTAATGTCAGCCATCCATATCTACACACATTACCATAAATTGTAAGTGCAGATTAATTATAGCAGTACCACTAACAATCATTCATGTCTTATCCTCTACCACAACCAATGTTTTTAAGATTTCAATTGAAATTTCATCAAAAAATAGATCAATGTGATTGATTGCGACTAGAAGCCTCTTTATGAGTGGTTTCCATCTAAATTGAACTATAAAGATGGCTTTTGTTTTTCACCCTACCTTAATCGTGGTCTCTGAAGAAAAAACCTAGAAGGAACTTTTCATTAAAACTTAAAGTATATATACCTCTCAGGACTAAACTGGTGGTTCCTGGGTTCATATTACTTCTAGGATAAACTTGTTGATGGTAAAGGATAATACGTAGCACTTGGAGACCAAATATAAGAAAAGAATGGAGCATTCTCTGGGTAGTTTCCGGTCCGATCTTCCGGAATCTAATACACATTACACAAAGACTCCTATACAAAGGCCGAAATCTCAAGCTCAGGTAAAGTATACGAAGGATTTCAGTAGATGAGTCAAGTAATTAATGAATTGAAACGCGAAATACACATTTCTTTTTCCTATACGGGTAGGCGCACTGTACAACCTGCAACTCATTAAGCATACAACAGTTAGTTCACTAAGGATGTTCTAGTGTAAGATAGATAATAACCTGAAAGCTGGTTGGATGTAACTCTCTCATCAAGACCAAGTCAAGCACAGGCCCTACAGTTCAATACACAATGAAATTCTATTTCCCATATTGATTGGATCTCTTGATTTTAGGGATTGTCACTGGAGGATGATGACATGCAAGAGAAGCCTATGCCTCAATGATAAATAAAGTGTGTAGTTGATATGCAAGCATTACCACCAGCGGAACAAGACATAACTATCAAAAATGAAACTGAACCGCTCATTCAATAATGAATAAAGAAAAGAAAAGGGGGCTAATTGGATCGTTAGTCACATCTATTTATCTCCTATTTGGACCTTCATCCATATATTTTAATTGCGTGAAAGATCTATCATGTAATTAAGTACTAATTGGATTGCAAGTCACTTCTAATGCTTTTCATCAGCAGATTTCGGTGACACAATATAAAAACAAAAGTCTAGACCATTGACACAACAAGTTTATTACGATGTGTGATATATTTATCACATACAGAAATGAAAATTCGTGACATGCTAGGCAACTTGTATTGGGTAATTATATTGCATATGATAGTTTGTTCAAAGAAATATTAACTTGTAACTAGGGCTGAGCATGGTTCGGTCCAAACCGAAAAAACCGACCGAAGCGACCCGAACCGACCCGAAAAAATCGGTTTTATGAGTAGGGTGGTTCGGGTCGGTTTGAAAACTTTTCAACCCGAACCGACCGAATATATTGCAATACTACCATTCTGATCTCAAACCCTACCCGACCCGTCCCCAAAGAGTCAAAGACTCAAACCCTAAACTCCTTTTCTGAATCATTATGGGTTAAAAATAATATCATTATATCAGTGTTTAATGCTTCATAATCTCCTACTTTGTTGATATCTTTTTTTCTTTAACACAGTTTGTTGTTTGATAAGAAGTTTGATGAAGTTAGAACTGAACAAACCGAACCGAACCGCACTGAACCGACTTGCAATGTTTCGGTTCGGTTTTGAATTATAGGCGGTTCGGTTCGGTTGTTCAAAAATTAGTAAAAACCGAACCGAACCGACCGTTGCACACCCCCACTTGTAACATCGAGCAAGTTGTATTGCTTAAATTAAATGAAAATGTATAGCTTAAATAGACAAAAGACATTAAAAGTGGCTAGCAATCAAATTAGTATCTAATTACATGACCGGTCATCCAAGCAACTAAAACGTAGGTATGATAGTCCAATTAGGAGATACATACAATGACTAACAATCTAATTGTTGCATAAATAGAGAAGTTGCTTAGATAAACAAATTTAAGATAATATTTTCATGTAGCACTAGAATTTATCAATTTGCGGAATGAAGTCCAAAAACTATAAAAGCAGAAACAAATATGCTCTAATCATAAAAAATTATCAATATAGACACGTCATGTTTTATCTGCTCTTTTTGTGTTGGAATTCCACGACTTGGGAAAGGAATTATTCATCCATGATCTAATCCCTTTCATCTCTTGGTCTTTGTGTTTCTGTCTTGATACGGAGTGAAGGTAATGTAGCTAATGCTATCTACTTGTAGTTATATATAGTGAGAACCTAAATTACCATTCTACATCTATCTGACAATTTTAGACCTAAATGTCAAGAACAACGCGCTTGATACCTAAAAAAATTCTACTACATGATTAAAGATACTGGAAGCTTGCACGTGGCTTAGGTGGTGACCGGTAAGCAGTAACTTGATGTAATTAAGAATTACCTGTGTAACTTGATGTAAGTAATAACTAGTTTGTTGCTTAGTTACCTGTGCTAAAGAACTAACTTGATGTAAGTCATAACTAGTTTGTTACAATGCAATACACAGGAATTAGAGAGATGGGTGGTTGTGTGATGTAGGCATTGTTTTAAATATCCCCGGCATGGACCGATATATGTATCCCCCGATATATCCTTTAACAATGCTTGCCGCAACCGTTATGGTCTCTAAATATCCTTTATCATTTTTGGGTATTTTTGGTGATATATCCCCGATATGGCCAATATATCAGCCAATATGTTAGTCAATATATCCTTTTATATGCCTAGTCGTAAAACAATATAGCATGTTTGGCAATTTTTGGACGAGATCATGATTTTCCCATTATATCAAATGACATTTTTGGACTAGAAAAATGAGACGAAATTTTGCAACATTGATTTGTACTTTTGTGATATGTACTTGTGTTTGTTTTATAAGGTTGATTACTGAACCTTAGCATATATTATTTATATTTTATATGCTTAGATATCCGTAAGTATGTTGAGATTACATTTTAGTGCATTATACTTTATATGCAAACATTCGTTATGACATTCCGATATTTACCATATATCCCCGATATCCGTAATCTGATATAAATTTTGGCCATCCGATATTTTCCTGATTTCTGATATTTAAAACCTTGGATGTAGGAAAAACTACAAGATTTCAGTTGCTCTAATTAGAATTAAAGGGGTTAGTTATAACTTAATTCTATCTTATTTCAGTTAGAATAATGTGGTTATTAGATATTTTAGTTTAGATATTTGTAGAGGGTACTATTTTTTTTTAATGATATATTTTTTTAATGATTTTTAGTTTTGGAGAATGTTTGACTTTATGTTTTTGCATTCGGTTTGTTTTGTAAATAAGCTGGTCCTTTTGAAGGAGAAGAGAAACATTAATAAACTCCTAGTTTTTTTTAGCTGCAAGAGATGTGCAATTTTATGTTAGCATATGAATTATAATATTAAGCATGTGAGTTATCCAGAGAGGCCCAAAACTCTGTTGTATTTTATTTGTCTCAAATCCAAAGAAATGTTCCTCACCCCAATTTCTCACTTTGTGCAGTTCACCACTTTCCTCTTTTTGTCTTCTTGCTGCCATTAAGCCACTAACTTATAAGGCAAGCAAGATCCAAACCTCTATAGACCTACCATTTAAAGCTGGTTTTTCCTTCTCTACTTCCACCTGTCATCAGACAATGAAAACTCTATTATCAAGTAACATAGCACCCCCAACCAGTAGCAGTACTCCATCCCATTCAATGTTTATGAAAATTCCCTTAAAAAACAATACAAAACTCCTCTCGATGAACCTGATGGTCCTTGTTTTGTACATAAAAATGCTGAAATCAATGTTACAAAAAGCACTAGGTGCTAGACCAATGCCTAGCACCTAGGCAACGCCTAGATGGATTTTCTTTTTATTTGAGAAGTGGAGGAGGCAGAGGAGAAGTTCATAGACAATGGAGGTGCCCGGAGGATCTGATAGGAGATCAAAGGATGTGGACGTGAAATTGGAGGAAATCGACAGAGCCGTAAGCAGTGCGGTCCTGAAAGCACCTAATGTTCCCCTAGGCGCTCCAAGTCTTAAGAGGGTGGCCTAGCTACCACTATTTAAAATATTGGATGCAATCAATCAAAACAGATGCACTTCATATTGAAGTCTCACTAATATCTATTAAATATCAATTGATATCATTACCTCCTTCATAACAATGTGATTTTAATCCGGTAAAATTTCGTCAACTTCTCTTATTTTGGGGATTTGATAGATATGAAGAACCGTATGATTTTGAAATTTGGATGCACAATATAGTATTTATGAGATTTCATAAAAAAAGATGTACCCATATTCAAGTGTAGGCTCAGAATAGTTGTCAATTGGTACTCTAAAAACTATTCTGGTTTTCTTTCATCTACATGTTCGTGAGAACTTGTAAATTTTTAAGGTATTCTTGTCATTCAATAGAAGATATTATTGTTATTCTTCAAAACTCGGAGCACAACCAACACGAAGGCCCCAACTCTAGCCAGATGTGGACACAACCTGAGTTTGAGTTAAACTCAGAGTAATATTGAAGGCAATAACACAACCTGAGTTTGAGTTAAACTCGTAGTAATATTGAAGGCAATATTTAAGCATTAGCCAAAGATAGAGGTGAAGTATAAACTAGAGCTAGAACAAGAGTCCAGTCAGAATTAGAACATGAGCTAGACCCAAAATCGAAAGTAAATCAAAAGAATAGACCAAAACCGAAATCAATATAAAAGACTAAGCTAGATTCAAAATTTAATCTCGAGTTCTGCTCTGAGTTCATGTTGCAATGAGTTGCATCCATTTTAAAATAATTTGATACATTTGATAATTGAGTTTGTTATACCACATCCTGATTTGGCGACTCATTATCGAAATTGTATATACTTGTCAAGGTTTAAATATCGATATTGGGGATTTATTGGACGGTCAAAATCCTTATCGGATAGTGAAAATCGAGGATATATCGAGGATAAATAGTATTTATTGGAGTGATATACCGTATGATGTGTATTTATAACATAATACCCCAAATTGTAATCTAACCATACTCCCCTCTTTCATTCTCTCAACCTTTACTAAATAACTAGAGAAAAAACTAACTGAATAGTGAATTTTATTTGTTGCTACAACTTCAGAAGTTGTGTTGAGGGCGTGGCGTCGATGGAGAGTCCAAGTCGAACTGTCTAAGTCATAGTTGATGATGACATCGATGGAGAGAGCTCGGCAACGATGGAGAGCTCAGTGTCGGTCAACGTCATCGAGTCAACCAGATCAGTTGATGATGGCGTCGATGAAGAGAGCATAGCATCAGTCAAGTCGTCAAGTCGATGAAGTTAATGTCGATGAGAGAGCAACGTCGAATGGTCAAAGTCATTAGTGTTGAGGTCTGCGGAGTCCGAAGAGGAGCGGAGGCGAGCGTCGAAGTCGGCGGAGGCGAGCGTCAAGGTTGACGGAGTCTAAAGAGAAACGAAAATCAGAGGATTAGGGCAGTGAGCACAGACAAATACGAGGAGAGAGAACGGATGATTAGGGCTACTTAATCGAGTTTAAGTTTTATTGTAAAGAAAGTGTCGTGTCGTGTTTCAAGTTCACTCAAAAACTGCCCATTACCCAAAATCACAACCCAATAGTGTGGCCTGATAATTCCGATTTTTAGAGCCGCTAATATCGGCCGATAATCACCTTTATCGTCATATTATCGCCGATAAACCCTAAAAAAGATAACTGATTTAAATTCTAACCTATCCTATAGGAAAGCTCCCAAAACTAATAACTCGAGGATAATATCGGATTATTGACCAATATTTAAAACCTTGATACTTGTTAACACTCTGCAATCCCTACTTATTATCGAAATTGTATATACTTGTTAACACTTTGCAATCCGATCAAAAATACCTCCCTCCAATAAAAGAATTTTTTACATTCACTTTTATACTTAAGGTCAAGTTTTCCCCAAAAGAGGATAGTTGATGCGGGGCATGACACAAGATTACATTTTGCTTCCATTAAGATATGATAATGTAGTTGTATTTTATTTGATATTTTAGCTTAGATATTTGGTTAGAATGTTGTTTTTCTATTGAAATATTCAGTTAGGGAGAACATTTGATTTTATTTTATTTTAAATTTTTGTATTAGATTTTTTATAAACAAGCTGTAAATGTTTCTTTCGTGGAGAAGAATGATGAAAACTCAATGTGTGCGAAATACCCTACATGCGAGTTGCAACAAATATTATTAGGTATGTGAGTCGCGTGGCATGTGAGTTGCCCGCGCGTGAGGCCCAACATTTATAACTTTTCTTTATTAAATGAGGAGCGCAACTTTAAAATTTGTACCGCTTACTCTATTTTTAATTTTTCTAGATCCAAATAATTTCTCTAAAGAAACCTCTAACCATTTGATCCACATCATGCCAGTTTGGGAAAGAAGAGAAGAGAAAATGTGAAATGATATATTAATTGGACGATTGTTGACTTCTGATGGGATTGGATTTGTTTCGGAATGCTAAAAAGACTAGTTTAAAGGGATTTGAAAAATATATTGATGGTTTTAGAATAGCATGACATGATTAGTGACGACAAGAGACACAGAATATGTCATTTCTCAATGTCAACAGTCATGCTCGAAAGTCACCAAATTTAGATGATAATATATCAAGGATGTCATATTCAATAAATTTTTAGTTTGTATAAAACGAACTTCATAAAAACTTAATTTGTGTGTTCTTGAATACTATTTAAGATAGTTGGGTGAAGATACCATGATAAAGATTTTGATGACTCTTGTTGCATAACTACATCAATCATAAAACTATTCAAAAATTCACAGGACTATAACTAGAATACCTCTTTTCTCCAAACTTTTTTCTCTATCAATAAATTTTTCTTCAACTTGCTCATACATTATGCGCTTGCAAGTTAAACTAGCAACATATGCAAATGATTGCATGGAGACTACAACCATGAAAATTAATATAAAATAGCAATTAGGTCCTCCATAGAGTGAGACAAGGCGAAAATGGCAAATTGATGAGGTTTTGGAAGATTTAGGGTTCGATTAAACTCTTCTTGCAATAATATACATGTTAAAGCACAATGTAGGATGCTAATTGTGTAATAAAAAGTAAAGAAACAGCAGAACCAACTATTAAAGTACTTCTATAGGAAAGGACAGATCTTCTACTTACAAGTAATTGAAGATTTTTCCCACACGATAACGAACTTCCCCCAGTGGTAATGATGTTTGCCCCATTTATGCATTGGCTGGTTTCCATATCTACTTCTTCAAGAAATACATGCCATCCCTCATTTCTAGCTTTTCTTCTGATACCAGACTTGAGAGAAAGCTTTGTAATTGTTGGAGTGACTTATCATAAGGTGGCTCAGCTAAGCAGAACATCTGAAACATAGGAATGGAGAAGAAGTCATGGCCAAGTTTTTCATCGCGAAGATGGTTAGAGTGATAGTGCAACAAAATTATTGTTATAGGGTTTCGTTTACCTTCAACGAATTATGTATCCTATCCAGTGACAAACTACCAAAATTTGTAAGCATCCCTTCAATGAATTTCTGCAAATAAGGAAAATACTAGTTGTCCATCAAAAAAAAAAAGAAAGAAAACACTAGTTGGAAGGGCTTTGTAACTGGTTATATAGATTACTACCTCGTAGGATCATAACATGGACATGAAAGAAGAAATGGCTAAATGTTTCTTATCACTGAATGCATATGTATTGCACATAAGTTTTATCTTTTCAGCTTTAATAGGTAACCAGTGCACAAGTACATCCGAAAATGAGTAGAGTATTTGGCTTAGACATAAATGGTTGAATTGCACATTAGATAAACAGAGCTGTAATGAATGAAGGTTTGAACAAATAACTATATCTAATTTTGTGATTCCTTGCAGAAAATTCTATTTTCCTCCTCTAGCTGAGACTATCTGGGTCTGCAGAATTCAACTTATTGGTTGCATGAGCACTGTTACCAGAAAAGTAGATCTTCCTACCTTGCAAGTTAAATCTTATATTTTTTCTAGGCCCTCTATTGCTATAGTTTCCTTGACCAGCATTTTGGCAACACATTCAGGCTTATACCATAAACTTTACGAATTCTTTTGTGTAGCTTCTCAATGTTGGTTAGTGTGTTCCCATGACCCCATGTCGCAAGAGTGTACTATACCCATATCATAGGACACCATTGCAATCACGTGGGAATGGAAAAATAAGGAGAATGATGAGATTTTGGAATTTTTTACCTTTGTCTGCTTCCCTTAAAAGATTTAAGCATATAAAAAATTTTAAAATACAAAAGTCTATGTAGAACTTAATATACTTCAAAGCATAACATTTTGAATGTGTAAGTGCCCATCTAGAGTGGATAGAACTGAACCTCATATATAGTCATTTCTTTCCGTAACTGTTCCTCCACAGACGCCACAGATCTCTCTCGTTCCTCATCAGCAGTTATAAGTCCTTCATAGCCACTGCTTGTTAAGCCATTTCTATTAGGATCCATCATGTCTTCAACAAGGGTGAAGACATGATCATTACTATCTTTTCCAACTGACTCAGCAAGGATTCCCTGGGAAAAGCATGTGAAAGCATGCTAGCAACAGTAAGGACCAGACACTTGGATTTGACGTGTGCAACATTTTGAATAAAAAATTGAAAATAATCTTGAAAACCATGTGAGATAAAAGTATGAGATACACATCTGTAAACCATTTCCTGCTATAATTCTCCATTTCTAAATGTAAATAATTGCTAGATGGACATGTAACACAAGTCAGAACTCTCAAGCATCCAGGACGCCAAGTGTAAGTCAGAAGAACCTTCTGATAAACTGACAGGAAAGATGAATATTGTTCAAAAGTGATATAGATATGCATATAATTTAGTCATTGTTTTACCACTTAAAAGCATCGATTCATAATTAAAAAAACTCAAACACAATTAATGCTTGATATTTTGCACATAAAGGCTAAAGCTCCAGGATGCAACAAATTAGAGATAATTCATCTTTAATTTCAGCTAACTAATTTTCCAAAATTGTTATTTAATATTATAATAATGTGATATATTTCTGTTGTTTCTTATATATAGTAAAAGGTAGATACCCTGTAGTAACGCTGATTTGAACTTACTACCTCTCTCATTTTATTTTTGTAGACAGACCCCTGCAATGCATTCATTTTGACTCTCTTACTCTGAAGGGTGAGAAAATTGATTTTATGACAAATATAACGCTGAGGGTACAAGAGTCAAAAGGATCACTCAGGGTTCTATCTGCAAAAATTACACTAGAGGGTAGTAAGTTTTAAACAGTGATACTACACTGCAGTCTACCTACAACAAACACTATATATATATAGGTCAATGAAAAATAAACCATGCGCATTAAAAGCATATACAAAGTTACCTCAGGCATACCTGAGTATCACAAACCGTTTTCACTCTATATTTGTAAGAAATTCACTCTATAATATATATAGATACATGTATAGGGAACTAGATTTGAATCCAAATCCTTCTCATTTAAACTCAATGTTTGATAACTCATATGAAATATCTACTCCATTAAAGGTGTATACATTATATAGTCCTTAAAACAAAAGATCAAACTTAAGATTTTTTTTTTTTTTAATGCTCATGAATCAACAAGATGAAAATGAATAGCTGAAATAGTGAGTAAGGTGAGTTTAACAGTGTTGAATATTTGATATCTAACAAAAATTGGTAGGAAGAGTTTAAGTATCTAATAAGATCAAATGTTTAGAACGAAAAATTTCAATGCACTGAAGCACAAAACTAAGAAAAATATCATTTTCCCTTCCGTGCTTTTGACGCATGGGCAAGAAAATTTAGATACTTGATTTTTTATAATACATTTTAAATGATACAGATCAAATGATCACTCTTAGTGCAACTGATCTTTCACTTGAACTCTTTCTTGTGATCATTTTAAATCAAAGAAAGATTTTAGGATTGTTGAATTACTTTTATCTACAAAAAACCTAAATCAGAACCATCTACAAAAGACTTTTTAACCCAATCTAAGCCTAATCGCTATCCAAAATTATATTCAATAGGAGGAGTTACATATCTTCTTTTGTTAATGATCCCAAAATGATTTATTGTTAATGCACAATTTAAATACGAAATTTTGATTTTTATTCAGGTCCATCCAAACTTGCCGACTTCCTTTTGAATCAAACCCGACCCATGAAAAACCTAAACCAAGATTTGCAAGCTGAAGTGGGAACACGATTCATGCAAGAATGTTGTGCTGCGCAAAAGAAAGGAAAATGAGAGTCAAGGGATCCCAGAACATCATGGTTGCTCTTCAGAATCAATCAAAGGTCATGTTTTATCACTAGAAGGTGAGATCCATACATTATTCTTCAAGTGTTGTACCCTTTATGTTCTCCATGTTTTACGAAAAGTCATCCTCTTTTTCCCCCCTGTTTTCTCCAGTCACCAGAAGATGGCCAGAATTCACTGGAGACTCGTTTCAGGGAACAATCCTAACATTTTAAAGGCTAGCTGCTGTTGTTTTTTTATAATTTTTCTATCATATGATTTACTTTTTTATTTTTATTTTTTTGTCTTTTTTATGCTTCTACTATTAGCGCATTTCAAAGAGTTTCAAACTGAAACATGCCTGACCCAAAATTTGGACTAACTAGGAATGTTCATGTACACCCCAATTTTTAAGAAGCTGATATTTCCTATCAACATCTATTAACCTTCAAGTACTATCTTCCAACTTTTCGACAACATATCAATCCAGACGTAAAACTTTTGAATGATACCCCCAAGGGGTGGTACTAATTTCTTATCTTCATCTGAAAACTTAAGAACCTGTTTAGACTCCAATTCTCAATCTTCCTAAAAAGACAATAGCTAATTAACAGACAAAGCAAGTCTCTCCATTTAGGAATCTTAACTGAAATTAGGATGGATGAATTTTGGTGGCCTGGAGACATCAGTAGTCACTTTCGACTGAGGATAAAATAAGCAATCACAAGCTTGTATGGTCAGGCACGTCCATCAAAAGATTTAAGTGCTCAGTTACCAACAAAAATAAGGTCGAATTTGTAGCAAGAACAAGTGTGTAGACCTTAATGAAAACGAGTTGAAGTGGTTAAATGGGATATCGTATGTTATTTTAACAGACAAGGGGCCTTCGAAAGAACTGAATGGAGAAAAGGATCAGTGTAGCCAGCTGCAAAGGTTTTGGATAAGTTTTTCCTGTTATTTTTAATATGCTTGTCATCAAAGAAATATTTCCCGGTACAGTAATGGTTAATTGTGTAGGAACCTTTATATATGAAATTGTCATTCCTCTTATTGCCGTTTTAATTCTTCATTAAATTCTATGATGGTCACTTAGCTGATGTATGAACAACAGAATGAGTGATAGTACAGGTGATCAGTAACATTTAAAACTGTCAAAACTGCTCACCCAGATAGATACAGGGGTTCTCAATAGTTAAGTAGCATTAATCGCCTTGCTTTTTGATATAACGGGAGCTCACTAATTTAATTGCAGTACCTGAAAATACTAGCCGCATAAAAAATTACTTGAACATACTTTGCAAACCCAAAAGTTAATTCTCCTGTTTAGCAGATCCACAGGTATTCCAATAGCTGCTGCAAGGTTCGTAGAAGTCCAACTGACAATAATGAAAATAACGTTATTATTTAAAAGCAAAGCTAAAACAAACACATAATCTGATGGTTCAAAATAGATACCTAGTTTGCTCCTGAAACTGCATGATAATTGTTGCATGCACTGGAGTGACTGTAAACTGTATTGTACGGTCTTCAAATTGCAGTTCAAGCTGAAAGGAACATAACACAACAAATTATACTAATTTAGGTATGGAAATATGCAAGTCAGCTAAACCAAAATGCAATGCTCGTTAAAGATATCTTTGAGGAATTGCAGAACCAGAAGATGACTAAAACCTAAGCATCCTAAGAATTTCTTCCGATAATTCTCTTGATCTTTTACAATTCAACCAAATTGCTGACCTTAACAGTTCCAAGATTTTTCTTCCATAAAAGCTTGCGTGGAGTTTTTATCTCATGAAACCTCTTGGAATAATCAGAAAGCAGTTGGTCAACAGAAGAGGGGACGTTAACGGTCTCCTCCTGCATTTTGCCCAAGAAAATAGCATTCAGAAAATTGAGATGAAAAAGTTCTAAAACAAAAAGCTACATTAGAAAAAGTTGAATATCAAGCAGGCATGATGGATATTAAAGGAACTTGAATTGATGTGCTAAATTCCAGATATGTGTACTGTGCAGCTTAGGTATCCATGAAATGTGCTCTTAACACACAATAAACAGGTAATACGCTAGCTGCTTTTCAGGACAAGATGGACATATAAACAAACCACTAAAGATGGACCAATTTCACGCTCTCCAGGTTTAATTCGAGCTTTTTCTATGGATAGCTCAACTACATAATTTTGAAGTCTCTGCTATTGCAACAGGGGTTGAAGGAAATGCTTTTATATTCTAATACCATGTGCAGGTTGAGTGACCTTTTGTGTGCTAAAACCTAGGCTTTTTTAGCATAATTATTTTTTTCTTCGCGCAGCTATGAGACGCCCCCCGTTAGCACCTTGGTGGCTCTGGTATCATAGTGCCTCTCTGTGCACCAAATATCAAACTCATGATGAGAGTTGAGGCAAATGCTGTTTTGTCCTAACTAATAATATTTATAAGAAAAATTAGAGGCAAACAAGACCAGAGAAGTTTGGACCAGTAATCCATCATGCTACTTTGTACAATGATGATAAAAGCTTATAAGTAAACAAATAGAATATGTGAAATCTGATCATCCGAATACTAAAAAAGTGACTTATCTCAGATGATCTTTCAAATTAAATTTGAATGAATAATTAGTCAGGTAATAATAGAACTATTTGATAATTGGTCAATACACTTCCACCCCGAATGTGCAACCGTTATCTGATCATCCGAATACTAAGAAAGTTCTTCGCTAAGACAATTTGCACAAGGATAAAGGTTCGCTGGAAAGTAGGTAGGCCAACATTCTATACTCGGACAGTTTAAGCGTATGGACAAGAAGCGATGCCTTACTTCTTTAGACTAATTAATTGTCTAGATGATAAGCAGAGAACTTATCCACCTCTGAAGCACAATAAAGGAACCT